AGTAGATGTAAATGTAGCCCTAAAAGTTTGGCTCACACCCACACTGTGGGTATGAGCAAAAATAACTTAGCTTAGAAAAAATATTCACAAGCTAGACAACAGACTGATTTCTACGTTTCTAGAATAAGAAGTTATTTATTTATCAGATTTCTTCTGAAAATAATAAACGGGTGTTGGGTCGACTATTAGCGAGTAATCATGAATGCTATAATTAAAAATTCAGCGGACCCTAGTTTGGTTGGCTGATAGCCAGATTGTCAATTGTTATGATTAGTTGATAGATAGATAGATAGATAGATAGATAGATAGATAGATAGATAGATAGATAGATAGATAGATAGATAGATAGATAGATAGATAGATAGATAGATAGATAGATAGATAGATAGATACATTTTCGCTAATGTTGCTGCCAATGCCTCTGCGGCACATCATTATACGTTTGTGCACGTGCTCTTGTCGAGGCCCGAATTTGCATCGATGCCGCCGCAGGCTTGCGTACCTGCGGTATTCCGCCGAGTTGAAACGTGGCGCTTAAACTGCATTGTTTTGTATTTTCCCGTTCTACGAGCTGAGTTGAGTGATCTAATTTGTTCCGTAGACGATCGAAGGATCAGATATTTCCCGAAAGAAACCTAAAACAATTGTAAAAATATTCACTGCACAGCAGTTCTTAAATGTGCAGTGTAACGTTTGCAGTCACTTACTTTTTGGGTGTATGCAGGGACAGGCTCCGACGTAAGGGGCGTAATAATTGTTGTATGCATTGCTTCTCAACATTGTGATGGAACATGGTTGGTTAAGACATGGACGTTTCTGGCATTTTCCCTTCAATCCGTGTCTGTAAGAACCGATCACGCAGCAATACCTACTAAAGGCCTCGCACTGATCGCGCTGCCATCGCATTGTCTTCCTACAATGCGGTCTTTCTGGAAAAGACTTGCATCACCGTTATTTACAGTTGCACAGTGATGTCAACAGCAACATGCATGTTACCAACACCAATTCTTGATTGATTGATATGTGGGGTTTAACGTCCCAAAACCACCATATGATTATGAGAGACGCAACACCAATTCTTGCCAACAACGATGTTTCAACACTCGTGTACATATTGAGGATTATTATCTAAAATTAATATTTCTTTTATTTCCACAGTTTCATGAAACTGTGGAAATAAAAGCAATATGAATTTTAGAATACTAATCCCCAATATGTGCACGATGCATTTTAGATAGATGCATTATTATGCACCAAATGTTTGGTTTATTCAAGTTGAAACGAGTAATGCTTTCTGATTGATTTGTGATTGATTTGTGGGGTTTAACGTCCCAAAACCACCATATGATTATGAGAGACGCCGTAGTGGAGGGCTCCGGAAATTTCGACCACCTGGGGTTCTTTAAGTAATGCTTTCTATGCCATGTGCAATGGCATCGGCAAATTTTAATTGATATGCAATGACGGCAGAAATCACTGCATCACGGGTACCCCGGTGGTTGTGGAATCGGGTGAACGCGGCCTCAAGTTTCCCCTCATTATTGACAATAAAAGGTTGGACTTGCCCAAATAAAGTTTTACAGCGAAAGCTGTTATGAGATAACAACTCGGGTTACGCGCAGTTGCATGTTGTCCGCCGCTGCCAATGGTGTCCATAACCACATCACGCGTTAAATTAGAAAAAAAAAACTCGCATTAATGACACAGTAGTGCTCTAACCCGGGCCCGCTGGGTGCCAGCCCGAAATTCCACCACTGAGTTACGCCGGTGCTTGTAACTTGTTGTCAAACTTGCCGTAGGCAGGCTTGATGTCGGGAAAGCAATCGCGTTAATGGAACTTATAGAGCGTTTTACAACAGTGAAGAAACAACCAGTCGTCCCTCCATGCGATTAGCGTAACGAGTGGGCCGTCCAATGCTCCATGCCCATCATGTGGACACACAGCGACACTCGCACACATGCTCTGGGAGTGCAGAACAACTCCTCTCGACTCTGCCTCAAGCAAGCGGGAGAGGTCCCTCAGGAGCTCACTTCTCGCCGACCAGCAATGGGCCGTCCAGCAGGCCCAGGAAGCGGCCGCTATAGGTACTCCCTGTCGGTCCCTACGTGGGAGACGCCCGCTACGCGCTAAGCGCGTCCTGCAGGACTGAAATGAAGTTTTTTCATTCCATTCCAATGCTCCAACCCATTACAAAAGCTTGCTTTTGTTTCCCTATTAACTGTGGCGCATACCCATTTCGGCCATACTTCCTCATCGTCGTCAGCCACAGCATAGACAAATGGCACAAAATTCCGAGCAAGTGGCCGTGTTTAGCAGATACCACGCTTCTCCAAAAAATGACAAAAAATAGCGTAGCGAATACTGGCGTACTACCCAAAAGTTTATTATTAATGCCCTAGTGGGTACCAAGCAAGTGTGCTTGCAGTAGTTACCCAATGAGTCTTTTGAAAAGACTCTGAAAGGCCGTTCTTCTAGCTTTCGCTGTGACTGTGCTGCGCTTGCCGCGCAGACCTGGAGTTTTTTTTTCTTTTTTTTGCTTGGAATGGCATGTCGTTTCATATCTTCTTGCTGCCCTATTTAATATTCGAAGAACAATATTAAAACGGTTTGAAGTTAAAGTGCTTTAAATTTTGACGGTGAGAAGCTCAATTTTTTACGAACGAAAGTTTTGATCTTTTTTTTTGTTGAATGATTTTTTTTTCTTTTCAAATTGCTTGCATTTCACACTTTTTTATACGCTTAAGGTGATTCAAAATTCTTTCATACTAAAAAAAAGTTGTCTACATCTCTACTACTGTGGGAGCATTCGTGTCAGATTAAAATAGAAAATTTATGACTTCGTGCATTCATAGTGGGGCGCGATAATCATATAGGCAAGCGTTTAAAGATGGTATAAGATAAGATTAGCTGATTTACGGATGATGAAAATAAGAATATGATATCTGTGGTGTGACTCGCCAAAATCGTGACACGATCATGATGCACGCAATCGTTAAAGTTTCCCGAAATAGAGATCACTTGAGGTTAAAATTAAGTACACGGGCTCATACCACTTTGCCTGCCTCGAAATTCGACCGTTATGGCCAGAATCGAATCCGTGACCTGCGGGTCGAGGTAACGCTAATAAAAGCTTATAACGAAATCATAATCACACGTGTACTGACCTTTCCGTTCACTGGCCTTGCTAGGTTAGACAATATGAAACTAAGAACAAGGATGTGCTCAACGTAGAGGCCCATATCTGCAGATACAGCGTTTATAGAGCTTGGAGATGCCGCATTCCGGCAAAGTGTCATATTCTAACAGTACACAAACAATATCGGTGTGTGTTTTCTGGCGCTGATGCCTATAAAGTATTTTGCAGCATAGATACCTAGCACAGGTTGAGCGATGCGTGGGGCCTTTTCTAATATATATCCATTGGTCAGCAGTCTCTATTCGAAAAGATCAGTGGTCATAAAAAGTGAACTAGGACCATGGCTGTATTGCTTTGTTTTAATGTCACCCGCAAATGGCTTATACGCTATATGTGTTTGGCATTTCACAACGCTGGTCGCGTAACTTCTTCGGGAGGCTTGGGGCTGTGTTGTGCTCTGTGCCACTTGATGCGCAGCTTGGCGAGAAAGCGGAAACGATCTAGTTTATCGCAATGTAGAGAACAAATGCGGTCCACGCACAATCTCGCAACACCTGGAAGATGAAATTCTGGGAAGGCTGTCGGGAAGCTCTTTGTTTAGTTCTGTAATGAACTAGACCTTACTTGCCGGAATGCCAACAGCAACGTTCGATAACAACGACTAGAAATGTCGGAAGAACTCACCTCATGACGTGTGTCGACGTCAAAGCGCCATAGGGGCAGTGAATATGCTTCTTCCAAATGAGCTGCGCAACGCGAACAATTTCCTTAGGAACGACTTTAATACGAATCCACGCAATAGTGTAACGATGACCTCTCCGTCGCGTAAGCTGCTTCCCAACATTGCACATTACGTTTGTTTAACACATGTGACTAACGGTGGTCCACTGACACTATTACATATTTTGTGTTTATACGTCATCGCCAATAGTTATTATTTTTATTGTGGTGCTAAAGACATGACAAGTCCTTGGATCTGCCATGACATGGCAGATCCAATGCCATGGCAGATCCAATGCCATGGCAGAACTTGCCATGACATGGCAAGTGGCAGTGAGTGCGACCTCGTGACTGTGCGCCAACAGCGCACCAACACCAAGAGCAAGCGCGCCAACATCTACGCGCAACTGACCTTTTGTCGCTGTATAGATTTAGCCCGTCTGTTTGCCGGAAGTAATACATGCCTTTTGTATACCCCGGTCCTGGAATGCCCTGCCTCCCTTGGTGTTTTTTCACATTCAATTGTCGGCGTCGTTACTATTATTAAAATGTCAGCATACCGTCTGGCTTAACTTATTTGTTAGGACGATTGTTAAATGTTCTTAGACTGGGCAATTTCAATAGCATTTTCAACTTCATAAGGCCCTTTATATATACTGAGAATCGCCCATCCCATCGAATGGAGTGGACCTCCATGAATGGTGAGTGGCCGAAACTTTGTAAAGTATGCTTACGGCTATTACGACAAATTTCAAAGTTGTCATACGAACAAACGTAGATGTCTTGTATTGAACTATTTATGCTCATGCGTGTCTTCGAGTCTCAGCGTTTAAACCTTCCCGACACCTAAAATACACTTGGTGTATCTGCATGTTTTCGCGTTCAGATGTCACCTAATGTAAGGTTTCGGAGTATTAAGAATAATAGCGACAACGAATTCTTAATTTTTTTTCAGCAAAACGGTTATAGCGGCTGGTAGAAAACGATTGGTGGATCCTTAAGCTTAGCCTTTAAGAGCTGAATGCGATTGCGTATCCTGTTCTGTTCTTTGAAGCCCTTAGTGTATACTTTTTATTGTACTATGTGACTCGAGAAGTCGTTTACGTACACTGATGTGGCTCCGCTCTCATGATTCCAGTTTTATGGAGACATCATGCTGACTTGTGAAATATTCTGGAAATTGAGTATCATCACTGCGTTAATTCTGGTGATTTGCGCGACCGGATGTGACTTCGCAGAAATCGACTGGGGATACGTGAGTATACAGATGGTGACGTAGATTTTCATCACTCGATCAATTTTTGCTATGGGAGGAAGTGATTAACTTCTTTACGAGGGCACTGCTCGTATCACGTAAATACTTCTTTTATCACAATTGTATTTATACGAATGACAGAGATGAAAATAGGGAGTCAGAGCATGCGTGGCAATCGCCACGACGCTTGTTCACTTTTGCAGCAGAACTGTTATGGTGGATGATCGCAGTGTGTCGTCGATAGATAAATTATCAAGATGGCGTACCGCACATGCGCACTCACCGCCAAGGCATTGAGTGCAGGTGATTGGACAGATATGCTGCAACGCGTGGCCCCTAATCGGTGTTCGCCGCCCGTGTGTTCCATTCTTAGTTTTTAGTGGCCCGGTGTGGTTAGTTGCAGGATTGGCCCAATTTGCGTCGTACGTGTGCACTATGGGAGTTTAATGGCAGAGCTGTTGTGGTCGAGGAGGGAAAAACATGGGAGGCGAGGGAACAGGAACGACAATGAGAGGCAGGCAAGGACATAGAAAGGAAGAGAGAGCGAAAACAGAGAAAGTAAGGAAGGGGAAAAGGGCAAAAATACAGAAGCAGAACCAACTGAACGTGGAGAAAGAGAGACACATACTAAAAAAAGTATCAAGAAAGGATAGCCAGCGTATAGCCACGTATAAAGTATATCAAAGGTCAGGAAAGAGGGGTGAGAGGGTAAAAAGCCTATAGACAAGCGACGACAAGCCTGGTGCCCACCAGCTGTTTTTCCCCCACCCCAAGTGTAGGGTAGCCAACCCAGCCAAGCTTGGTTAACTTCCCTGCCTTTCCTCTCTATTTATCTCTCTCTCTCTCTCTTGACCCACACTTGCACGACTTAGTGCGAGCGACGCTATTTTTGTAGGAAGAAGTAAACGTGATATTCAGTGTCATTTTATTCATCATAGAGAAAACTTTAACTTTAGCGCTCTATGAGCTTACCGGCTACAATTTATCACTTAGAGTTCACTAAGCTTCGAAATTAAGACATTGTGAGCCACATCCAGTTGTCCAATAATCAGCGTTAGTATTTTTATATTCATAAGTTTCAAGCACAATTTATAGTTTGTATTTTATGAAATTTCATTCTTATTGTGATAGACTATATTAAAGAATTTTCGTAAGTCTCCTCCCCTCTTGCACACTGCCCCCTTCCCCCCACCCAAGAAAGAACGCTTTGTAGCTGCACATCAGCTATAGAGTACATGGTATAGTATCAAGATGACTAGATAATAAATGTTCAGAACTTCCAAAAGGTACGTTAGATTCAGCAGATGAATGTTAAGAACCGCTTAATTTGCTGTCCTCCACTACGGCTTGTATCGCAACCATGTCGTGGTATTGACATGTAAAACACCAGCAGTTATTTTCATTAGGTTTCAATAATGGATTGGGCCTAAATTTACGGACAGATATGTTCAGCAGTTAAATTATTCGTTTTTGTTATTGCCAACAGGATTCGAACGACGATTACGTTCCTGGGAGGTCGTGCCGGACTAGCGCTGACTGTGAGCCATTCAAGTACTACTGCTGTGTAATACAACGTCCTAACCAGCGAGTGGGCTATTGTAACTATCGTGGTATCAAAGGAGAAAAATGCAGCAATAAGCTCTACAGGACTGTGGAGAACAACAACTACTATGCTCCATACCTTCATTATTGCCCCTGTGAACAACCAAGTACGTTACATTTAAGCCCGTGTTTTAATTAAACATGAAATTAAAACGTTCCCAGTGGTAAAATAGAATACGCTCGCACAGTATGGGAAAAAGTGCAGGTCAATCGGAGAGATTTTCTTATTCGCGCCTAAAATTAACTTGCAGCCGACGGGGACCTTACCTGCGACTCTCAAATAACGCGTCCTATGCTCTGCTAACTGACCGACAGAGATGGTCGTCCTTCCCTCCCCCCCCCCTTCCCCACCCGCATTGACATTATGGGGCATATACCAGTGTTTTAAACATGGGCGCGTTTAAACGGGTGAATGACCGACGCCGTAGAGTATCTGTAAGAGTTCCGGCCGCCCCGTTTTACCAAACAGTCGATGACGCCAGTGCCTGAGGTAAGCATCTATAGGATTTCCCCGGCCCGCGCAGAATCTTGTAAGGGACATTCGCGAACCTGGTGAGCGACATGTTTGCTACCTTTTGCAGCGCTTCTTCGAGTTCCTGCTTATTACCGCAGCTGAGACACACGTCCTCTGCAGTGAGCTCTGCCAGGTTGTTTCCGTATGCACATGCAGAGCTGAATAGAGACCGTCAAGAGTAGCACTCGCTTGCTTAGTGAGGCTCTGGCATCCTGACTCTGTCCGACACTGTGGGTCAGTGGCTACGCGGTGCTCGGCTGCTCACCTGAAGGTCGCGGGTTCGATGCCGGCCGCAGCGGTCGCATTTCGGTGCAAGCGGAACGGTAGAAGTCCGTGCACTGTGCAATGTCAATGCACGTTAAGGGACACCAGATGGTCCATTCTTCCGGAGCCCTCTACTACGGTATCTCTCATTATCACACCGTGGTTCTGGGACGTTGAAGCCCACATAGTAAGGCATCCTCACTTGTTCGGCGCTGGAGTCCGCCATAGGTTTCCTAAACGTTTTAGCGATTTTAGGTTAATCACCGCCTTGGCGTTTTGGTTATCTCTGTTAGTTACATTATCTTGGGCCTCGTTCGTTTATTTTAACCTGATTTCGAGCATTGCTGGACTTGTTTTGGGCCTCAATGTATCACTTCAATCTGAGCGTCACAACGCTGTATGAAATCGATGAATGGATAACATGCCCGGCCTCTGAAGTGCTACGCATCTAAAATATCAGCGTATACATGGAGCTTCACACTTGCTCAGAGTTGTCCTTGTACCACCACACTTTTATGGTGGAGTGAACTCAACTTAGGAAATTGGTGTCAGTATACTATAAGGCGCTTTTTTTAATATTCTTTTGCCACGAAGAGTGCGTTGGAGGCTGCAGAGGGGCTTACAAAGATGCAAGAAGCTTCGTCAGCACGCCATGACCTTGAGTGCGTTTTGACGACCATCGAATTAACCAATCGCCAAATCCTTCCCATAATGCAGTCGGGCCCGTCGATGACGTAACTTACCGAGAGAAGAGGGGGCGTTTGCGAGCTCTCTTAGCAACGTAACAGTACATGCACTGCCATGGATAGGGCAATATTTGCTCCACATATTTACAAGCGCCTCGGTGTCAGATGGGCAGCATTTACCGACCATGTTAAAGACATCTTCAGGACCCATTTAAGACGCCCTTCATGTGTGTGGCTGGTCAATTACACTACTAAATTTTCTTTCCTGCTGATGGTTTTTATGCTTCATACCATTATCGCATAGAGAACTAATATTTAGACCCAAATGAAAAGCTTAAGTAGCCTGCACTTACAAATTTATAATCATCCTGTCATACTAATACCCCTTTCTTCAACTTCGCGCTATACTTCTTTTGTTGTTGTTTTCAGAATATGTATGTCACCGGTCACACGGACTTGAAGATGTTGGCAAATGTGAATTCTATACTAAAACCAAACCTGGTGGTTGAATGGAAGTCCGTGTTAATGGTACAACGCGTACGAAAGAGGCAGCTACAAGGAAGAAGACCAACATGTGCCTATACCCTCCTCAAAGAACTTTACATTCTCTTGACGAAAAAAATCTATTCACGCTTGTCTAACCACTGCAAGATATGTTGTATTCGTTTTATTGAGTGTATGGCACGTCTGGTATGTTCACAGACAACGACAGTGAGAAATTTACCGATTCCCTTAATGTAATGTCATTGAGATTGCAAGAGACAGTCTGTGCTCTGGGAGGCTCATTTAACCAAATCACTAGTGATTTATTTTATACATATTAACGTACGCCTATTCAAACTTTAGCATTTCTATTCATTCTTGATTCACACTTGGCTTATAAATAAATGGAAGTTCGTTATTTATCGCAAAGCTGATTATATTTCAATATAGGGTAAGTACTTGAGTGGTAGACAGAAAATTAAGTGGGCAGATGAGATTACGAAGTTCACAGTTGTAACGTAGCAGAAAAAAGTATAGGACAAGGTTAATTGGGCGGCGGAACATGATAAAGGCATTTGCTGTGCAGTGGGCCTAGTGAGGCTTTCCGAAAAAGGAGCAAGCCCCTAAAAATCCCAGCATATCCATGGATTCATTGATGATGAGTGGGGCGAAGCGTCTGTCCGTTCGTTCGTCCGTCCGTCCATGGCTCTGTTCGTCCCTCCGTCCGGACGCACGGACTGAAACACGGACGGACAGACAGACGGACCGACGGATGCACGGACGGAAAGAAGCACAAACGGACGGACGGAAGCACGGACAGATGGTTGGTCGAACGGATGAATGCATGGACGGATGGATGGACGGACGCTTCAGTCCCCTCATCATTCACTCCGTGGATATGCTGTGAAAAGCACTAGCGCCATCTAGCCATGTTATTTGCAGGACATACACGCAACTCCATGTGTTGAGCAACTCATACATTAGAGGTGACAACATACTACTACTACTACTACTACTACTACTACTACTACTACTACTACTACTACTACTACTACTACTACTACTACTACAGTGAAAGGAACGTCCCACGACCTAAGGATTTTCGCCTCTTTAACGAAACAAAACAAAGCAAAACATATGCAAGAACGCACCTCCAGTGCGAAAGAAAAAAAGTAAGAACGTGAGACGTTTCGTTTCGAAGTGAACATTTTGGTTGATCCATGTGTTATGCATGCCTCCAAAACGCACGGGACTGTTCATGCACGACGGCGGCCGTTGGCTGTTTCCTTTAACTAAGGTGGCTAAAGTACTCGTCTGCTGACCCGCAGGTTGCGGGATCGAATCCCAGCTGCGACGGCTGCATTTCCGATGGAGGCGGAAATGTTGTAGGCCTGTGTGCTCAAATTTGGGTGCACATTAAAGAACACCAGGTGGTCGAAATTTCCGGAGCCCTCTACTACAACGTCTTCTATAACCATATGGTGGTTTTGGGACGTTAAACCCTACATATCAATCAATCAATCAATCAATCAATCAATCAATCAATCAATCAATCAACCAATCAATCAATCAATCAATCAGCTTTTATCCACAATAAACATGCGGCATTTCATCCCCATACCACTTGGTATTTGATTGAACCCATTCCTCCACCTTTGAGTTTAACATTCCGCGGCATCCTAAAGTTGCACCTGACCGTAAAATGATCACATCTTCTTATTTAGCTTTTATCCACAATAATCATGCAGTATATCATCCCCATACCACCTGATATTTGATTGTAACCAATGAAGGTGATGTTCTTCATATGTTATTACAGCATCTTTCTAGGGTTCAAGGTTAAATGAGGACATATATCTTGGAACACAGCGCCAAGACTATTGTCTCTATGACAATATACAAATCGAGGAGTGATTGTTCTCCTAAAGGACGTTGCCTATTCCTCTCTACGATGAGCAAAACGCATTTTTTTCCCTTCAGCTACTACCGGCGTCATACGAATCCTTCTATTTGTGTTTCAGTGGGATGATATATGTAGTCTTTTGCCAGGCAACGCTTATGAACGATGATAAAGCAAGGAAAGGTCTGCATTAGTGGGGAAACCTTGGACAAGAAACACACGGTGCCCCTTATAAAATTCCTTGATGGCTAAAGTTATTTCGTTCATTATTTTAGGTCGATTGTATTCTTCTAGCACATGGTAAGCTTTGTGCAACTAACGTGTTCTTTGCCATGCCTCCAGGGTCTGAGGCATTCCGTAAAGAGTTTTAAAATCTCCCTATTTAAATTCACTTTGGACTATTCAAACTCCTGAAAACTCTCTGGTATATTCGGTCGCAACTTTTCTTGACAGCACTGTGGAAGCAGCAGAATCGACGGGCATGCCAGCTACCGTGCCACAAAAGAGTATTTGAGTTCACTGATAATTTTCTCTTTGGCCTCGCTAAAATATATAGTGCTTCATGTTGTTCGTGGTATAGCGCATCCAGGACGGGACGGAGAAAAAAAAACACGGGACACATACACGGCGCTATACCTCGAACAACATGAATAACCAACAAGCCCGCCGTGCAACCTTATAGTCGATATGCTGCTTCATTTATTATGAGACTGAAACTGGTGTGGGAAGTTGCCGGCAAAATGCAGTTATTGTCCACAAGAACGACTTTCCTTTGCTTTCCATTTCCTATCAAAGCCCACCACCTTATCAAAGCCCACCGGTTTTCCCAAAGAAAAAGGTGCGTCTGGGACGTCAGTGTGTGGCGCAAATCTGCTGTTTAGTTTTTCAAGAAAAGTAGAGTCGTAATATGACACTAAAATATACACTGAGCAATCGAAACGTTTCTCCCATTCATAATTTTTATAAATGTGATTTCTATGAATGTTAGTTTTGTGAGCAAGCCAAACCGAAAGCAACCGAAAGCTTCCGTATTACTTGCGCAGCAACACGATTGCGCGGGAGTCCCGCCTCCGTAACCTTCGTTCCAATGTCAAAATAAGGTCGCCGAGTATAGAGTTCAAGGGCCCTGTACCCCAATATATAAGGGGCACCATGTGTTTCTTGTCTAAGGTTTTCCCACTCACGCAGACTTTTTCCTTGCTTTATCATCTTTCATAAGCGTTGCCCTGGAAAAAGACTGCATATATCATCCCACTGAAGCACAACTCGAAGGATTCGTAATACGCCGGTAGCAGCTGAAGAGGAAAAAAAAAGCTTTTTGCTCATCGTAGAGAGAAATAGGCTATGTCCTTTAGGAGAACATTCCCTCCTCGAATTGCATATTGTCATAGAGACAGTAGTGTTGGCGCTGCGCCCCAACATTTACGTCCTCCTTACCCAAGCCCTCGCGCTACATCACACTCCCTTTCGGTTCTGTTTGCAAACAGAAGACAGCCAAGAGATGTCAGTAAGCAAAAACGTGGTTGCTGACCGCCTAGAGGTCCCCGGCACTGAAACATTTTTATTTTCTCTTCAGTAAGAAGCTGATGGCCTGCTCGAAGCCTTTCAAGTTCACTACTTGTTAGCGATTTGCGTAAAGAGGCAGCTTCTGTACTAGCTTCAAGTGATGAAGCTTCTGATTGAACACTGTGTCACGTTCACAGCTCCTCCGCTGGTTCAGTTTATGCCCTTTTGGACACTGTCACTCTGTCACGGCCTTCTGTTCGGGAAGCCTTAAAATAAAGCTCTCTCTTTTTACCCAAGCTAAGGTATTGCAGGCCTAGCCTAATCTTTGGCCCCAGCCCAGGTATTCAGAGGATTAATTCAGAATCGTGCAGGAAGGCACGACACTTTAGTGACCTTCCACTGAAACATCGCAGATTTTCTAATGAGCACCGGGATTCACAGCTGTCCGTGGATATGTGACATTGAATGCATTGTTAAATCACCGGCACGCCCTTGCAGGCTTAAGGGTAACAAACTGGGCAGTTTTGTAAATGTAATCGTATAACCTTTTTCAATCACTGTCTTTGACATGATATAGCGCTAAGAGCTCCAGCGAGACTTTTCAGAGGCAAAATACAGTACTGTAAAACACTTGCGCCTTTCGAAGAATATGCATAGATAGGTATACGTAACTGATTTTCCCTTCTCCTCCAATCACAGGTGCTGCGATGAACAAATAGATTACATCAATGAAGTAAAATTTGTGGATTCGCTAGAGGCCTCGCTTTGTGTGTGGAATGTCAGAGCTGTCATTTTGTAGCGCAGCCGGGCTATAAATAAAATACACTAACCTAACAGCACGTTAAAGCGCCGCTTGCCTTTCAGTGTTACTGTTCTTTGTAAGCAGGGAGGCCTTGTATACACGTTACATTTCGCACGACAACCTATGTACATTTTAGTATGTGCAAACACTCCATAGTTTAGTACGGGGGTGTATTTTGTACATGCTTTGTATCTGTGGTGACAACTGACACGTGCGTATCATTTGATTTTTAGTTGCGAAGCAGCTTTCGCTAGGAGCTGTGTCCGTACATTGGCGACCGTCCGCTCCCCACTACGCATGCGCCAACTCTCCCCCCTCTCCTCGCGCTCATGCGAGGAGAGGGAGTGAAGGAGGCGGCAGAGCGCTGCTTCCGTTTCGTTGCTCTTCTCTCCGCCACAGCTGTGTGCTCGTTTGCAATGCGGCGCTCGCTCGCTGCGTTGCACTCTCCTAGCAGCGCTGGGTGTTCACTTTGCGGCACACACACACGGCAATACACGCAAATGAGAGGAGGGGTAATATAAGCGGTGCACAACATATACACAACTCCACACGCAAATGAAACATACGCGGAAACATCCAAATGAAAACAACAAATGAAAACTCAAGTGAGCACCAGCATTGCTTCGCATCCCCACATCTCTTTAGTGGAAAGTGGTTTAATTGTTTTAACCATAACTGTCAGTGGCAGCAGGCTAACCGTCTCAGCAGTATTCATTATTCCGCTGTCAAACAATGCATTTTGCCAGATCAAGCACCGTTCCACCACTCAGCGTTAAACTTCCTACATGAAAAAAAATTGTATGCGTTTATGATACATTGTTTACTTCCAAGGGTAAGCTTCCGGTATAAAAAATAACATATTTTTCGTGTTGACTGATCGTAAGCTACGGAATGTTTTTATGGTTGCTCTTTCGTTCGCAGCATCCAGATTAATACCACGGTTTGACAT